GATATCTGTTTTATGTTTTATCAAGAACCCTGCATCTAAACATGTAATGTTAATGTCCCATGATATTGCCTTCATACTGAAATATCTTGGAAATTGTGTCAAAACTTTTCAATCAAAACAATCTAAGCAACAATCTAATGAACCTTTAATACATGACATCAATGCTATGCATTTCAACTACCAACCATTCTAAGGAGGTAATTCTGGTATTTTTACCAGTTTATTGCATCCAAAAGACAAAGCTGAAGGAATGAGTATCAATATTGCTTGAATTTGTTACCTTTATTTAGTTTTTCAAACAAGATAATACAAGATTGCAATAAAATGACAACTAAAGCTTAAGTTTCATCAAATTTGACAAACCAGAATTTAGAATAGTCCAGGGTGTCATTTAGTGCAGAAATCACCTAAGCACTATGAGTAAGAAATATGAGTGAATCACAGCATCAACTTGGTTCTGTCCAATCAGAGATAAGAAAAATAATGATTGATGGTTGAACGATTAAACTGAATGAATTCAAATCCTACAGAATGAATGTATGAGAATATGATTAATGTCATGGCGCTGGATGAATCATGATGCATGTGTAAATGTATGTGCATTGTAAATCTTATCTGCTATATGACAGTCATCACAGCAGGCGAAAAAATAAACAATAATGAATGAAAATTGTATTTCAAGTTAAGCCGAAAATGTCTGCACCTTGAAGTGATATGTACCAGATGTATATAAATTTTTGAATATATATTTTCACTTTGGCTTAAAAGTCTAGCATGCACATAGAGGTATAATGTAAATCTGAAAAATGTGAATAATAATTTGTCATTATAGTTTGGCTGAAAAAGTCTGCTGAATGACATCATAATAAGTATGGATATAGCATTATTGGATAACGTAAGCATTTTTTAATATCAAATTGTATTTCCAGTTTGACAAGCTAACATACACATAAAGATATAACATATGCAATTATGAAAATAAGATGTAATATTCATGTTGTTGGCATTCATAAGATTCTTACATCTGCAACAATAATTTGCAAAATCTTTCACAATGTTTCATGGAAATTTGCAATATGGCAGCTGGCGAGCACAGCTTACTCATCCAAGAACAATAATGATTTAAAATGGTAAAGCTATTTAGTCGGTTTCATGAATAAGATTAACAGATGATTTGCATAATTTCGTGAATGTAGGAATTAATATATTTTAAGTGGGTCCTTATTAGTTAATTTTAATAGAAACTGACAGCAACAGAATATTCAGGTTTCAAATAATTATATTTATAAATGTGTTGGTATATTGTGACATAAACTCAGGTATAGATGTTATTGAAAGTATAGGTGTAAGAGCCAAATATAGAGACAGAAAATATTGGACTGGTCTGTGCTGCTTTTACTGTCTAATATGATATTTTTAGGTTTTTGTTATTATCTATACTTTTGTTGTTAATTATTGTTTTAATTCAAGTCAATCAAAGATATTTTTGCACATCTGGGTATGATTCAAAACATAAAGAGAAGTAGGTAGAGTGAGTAGTCGTGAGCACAAGGAAGTCTTGTTTATTTTCAATTACTATTGTTTGATGGGCATCAATATCATTGCTGGACAACAGTTTGTTCTGTGTACATTACATCTTGAATATTCTATGTCCACAATAAAATTGTTCTTACCTTTTCGCCCCCATCTCTCATGATAGTGGCCAGCTCATGGGGGTTCACTAGTTGCCAGGATACAGATGATTTCATTTTGGGTTCTTCTGTGTTACCTTCGTAACCATCTGATTTTGACGCCATATTTGGATATAATCCTATGATATTGTTAGTCTATTATAAGTCTTTAGGTGGAACATATTTGCACTTTGAACTATTCCTTTCATTTTATTTCTTGGAATACTTCATTGTTGCCTTTTCATTCTGAAAAAAAAAAGATCTTAATATTTAAATGATAGGACAGGTTTGACAGCAAGCGTTATTATAATGATGAAGAATTTAGTAATGGCATAAGGTTAGAATTATTTTTGGCAGAGATATCAGCTACTGTGGAGCTTTTGATACCTCTCAATCTTCTGGGAAAGCCATGTTCATGCAATTTTTTGTAAACAATAGAACAGGCCTCCTCAAAGTCCTCTTTGTGCATACAAATCCTTGGGTGAAACTTAAGAATTTCACCAAGTTTCGTAAAATCTGTAAAAAATTCTGCCCTCGAAAGTGTTCACAAGCAATTGTGGACGGATGATGCCAAATACATGCTCCACATTTCATGTGATCGTATAAAAGGTTGGTTGGTTGGTAGATGAAAAGTTAACATTTGCTTCCAGCGGATGATGATATTGAAAACTAGGTAGTTGTTGATAGTCGTAGTAGTTGGTAGTTGGATTGTATAAAAGTTCCCAATAAATACAGTGATCTATTAGTCATTTCTCAATACCATTGATAAAGATTTCCTATTTACATAATGTTACTATAAGAATTCAAAGAAACCTTTCAGTGGATATTGTTACCTGTCAATTGACTGGGGAATTCCCTAAACAAACAATGAAGTCAGGAAGTTTTGGTTATTCATATTTGCCAATTGTGACCAGCTAGGGCTCAAAAATGGTCTACTTCTATCGCTTGATAGACAAAAGCATCATCGTGGAAACGTCACAAGTTATTTATTAAGGTAATTGTTATCCATATCATTGAGTCCAGTTATTCATACCCTAGTTAATAAATACCACTCAAGGAAGTTACTTCTATTAGGTTTATGAATGATGTAACAGTACATAATTGTGACTTAACTGATAACAACGTCAGTCATGAATGTAGTTTTTGCAAGTCATTTTCAGTTGGAGATTCAAAATTTCTCATTAAAGAACATCCAGACCAAAATAGACTGAAGAGCAGGTTTCCACTTCATATATCCTGCACACATAAACTTTACAAACAAATGAATTTTTGAGACAAAATGACCACTTATCCGTTGCAAAAGAAACAGTCATAAAATGAAAATTGAAATTAAAATGTGTAAATATACTGATTTGATTCACAAACACACAGAGAGAGAAGTGTTGAAGTCTATTTGGTTTCTGTCTGAATATTGCTTCCAATCGATAACTATCTGGAATATATATTCCTCGTTTGACATTTATTATATTATATTATACACAGTGCAGAATGTAGACACTTAACTGTCAAGCCACAATTACAGGGTGATGAATTCCAGGAATAAATTATCTCCCTTAGAGTGCATTTCACAAGATGTAGTGTATAGGTCATAAATATCTGATAATATTAACATTACACTATTTCTCATATAGAATCTAAGAGGAGTACTGGTTTAAGTTTTCAATTTCCAAGCTCTTTAACTCAAGCATAACTATTTTAGTCAATTTGAGCTCCATTATGATAAGTATAGTGTGATTAGTGAGACAGGGTTTGCTCCCCCTTTAAGACCACCTGATGCCACTATGAAACTGGGTTTGTAAACTTGGCATCATTAATATTATATCTTTGGTACATTTTTCACTATTTTACTGAATTTGAGCTTTGCTATGTTAAGTATTGTGGCATATGATGTTATTGGAAAGGGCAGGACCATCCTGCTAATGCAAATGTTAATGGCATATTTTAGATTCCCCCAGCTAATATTGTACACTAGGTACATTTTCTCTTTTAATACCAAGGGTAAACAATATTTATTAACTAAAAACTTCAACCATCCAGAAATATTGAATGTCTGGTTTAATATCTCACAGGAAATTAAACATAAACCTAAATTTTCTACATGGTTAAAATCAATCTAAAAACAATGTTCACATTTCAAGCGAACTTTGAAAAAAGATAAACATAACAAACTAAGACTATAAAATGACTAATCTGTGAACATTTGATGCCACTATTTGTCACATTAAAAAAAATTCCTTAAAGAGGCTTTTTAAAAAATTTATCAGCATTGTTGACACTGATAGTATCAATTTGCACCATTCCAATTTTCACTAAAACTAAGCATTTTATGATATCACTATCGCAAAGGTGCTTATATATCATTAGAAGCCTAGCAGATCTTTACAATCCCATTAAAGAAAGCTATAATATTATAGACAACAGCAAGTCAATGCAAAGTCTTCACAATCTTCTGACAGATCTAATGCCACTCACGTCAGGGTATGTCACACATAATGATTACTTAGTACTTTTAACCTGCCAAACATTTTTCCAGATCGATATTCCATTCCAGGAGACCACATAACTTATTGTGTCTTATCTCTGCATTAATAAAATTTGTGTATTCGCAGCCAAACCCTAATATCATCCAGGGAACACAATAAATAAAGATATAAAGATTCGGACTTAAGAAAATGTGCACATAAAAATCTAGACCAAAAACTCAAGTCCACTGACATTTAAAAAAAAAACAGACCAAACAGTGATGCAAGACCATATAGAATATCCAGACTAACTCCAGAAGAGACAGGCATGAAAACTTGTCCAGTCCAAACACAAAGTCTCCGCCTAGTAAAAACAAGGGAGATTCAAAATGCCCTGACCAAACAAAAAATATCCAAAATTATTAAAACATCAATATACCTCTAGAAAAAATTAGGGAGATTCAAAATGCCCTGACCAAACATAATATATCATTCTTTAATAAAACTTTCAGCTTAGCTATTCACACAAACCTGGGAGATTCAAAATGCCCTGACCATACACAAAATATCCAGTCTATATAAAATATGAAGCCTACCTTGAGAAGAAATTGTTGAGATGTTATGAGGTCTATAGTAAAGAGAAGGGTAGTAATACATAGCAATGATTCATCTACCAACCATGTGGAACTACTCATAATTTGTCTTAGATATACTGCTACTACCAATTTATTCTTTTACTATTTACTATTTATATATGGTACTTTACTGTGGTGTGTGTGAAGCATTAGACTGGAACATCCTTGAAACATATATAGCAATTCCTCATAATTTGTCTTAGATATACTGCTACTACCAATGTATATTTTTACTATTTATATATGGTATGGGTGCTGAGCATTAGATCTGAACGTCCTTTAAACAAATCAAGCGATTTCTCATAATTACTATTATTGGACTGAGGTAGTATATGGGATATTAAAGAAACACTTGGTGTTTCAAAACAAGTAATCATGCATGACACCCATATCATTTTAGCATTATTCTGAAATAAATAGGTCAGTAGTGTTCACAATACCAAAAAGTCACTGGCTCTTAACACAAAGTTTGCCTTTTTAATTGATTTTTCGAATAAACAAGCAATAATAAAAAAAGACTAATAATTTTTTCAATGAATTAAAAAACCACAAATTACTGCTGTCACAACATTTTCAGTGCTGCCAGCATGACGTGTCATATAAAAACACATTGGTAATGACATGACGGTACTTAAAGCTGTCATCTACTAATGATTTCCAATACTAAGTACCATGTCTATTATAAATTCAATGACTCACAATCAGGACTCAATTATTGTTTAATTTTCAACATGGCTTCCAGTCAAAGCTTGACATATGTTTCATTCAAGCATACCAATAATAAATTTTACAGTTGAATTATGCCATTTTTCAATAATTTACAAACAAAATTTTAACAAAATGGTTTAAATATTAGTTAAAAAGCTAAGGTTGTCTTAATATTTGCTGAACCATTTGAAAGAGCTCAATTTAAGCATCCATGGACACTTTTCCAAATTAAAATTTGATGATTGATTTTTTTAAAAATTAAAAAAAAAAATAGCATGCCAATTTAGATTGCCATCACTTCAAGATCAGTTATTACCAGTATTCTAAAATTTCACTTGAATTGTACTAGAACTTAGAAGCCAACATCAGATTTTATTTTTGAAAACTGTTAAGGATAGATGAATTTATTTTCATACCATTTTGAATAATTAAGTTCCAATACCAGTTTATATCTGTTAAAACTCAAGACACCTACGAGGCCCGATCACCTCATAAATAAATTTCATCTGTTTTTCATTAGCATTTTTTTTAAATATAGCCACTTCAGTTAGGGTCTAACAACAGCCCTCTTGAACATTCGTCAAATTAACCATTTGACCCAACCCAGTCACAAAAGGCAGCGCTAAGGAGGGTTGAAATTTGATTGGTTAAAGCAGACTTCATTGAGTTCATTGTTAACTTGAATAACATTCAAAAGGGCTGCCGTTGGACTGCTAGTGAAGTTGCTATTAAAATAAAAGCTAACAAAAACGGAACGAATCTTTGGTCTCATTTTAATTAGACTGGATTTTTTGGTTTCAAATACGTCACAAACATAAATCTTAAAATCATCTTATTACCAATCATCTTATCAACTTATCAGACAAATTTTTATAATAAATTTTACAACTCACATAAAGAAACATCACGATTTTTAATATCCTAAGTTAGAAGATAATACAGAAAACCATAATGAATTGGAAATAGAAATATCAATCTATTCAAATAAAAAAATTAATAATTTCAGGTGGTTAAAGACAATATTTTAATACAATATTATGTCTTACCATGACTACATTAAACACATGTATGCATTTAAAAACTCTCAAATTTCTCTTTCCAAACATTCCTTTCTAATAACCAAATAAATATATTATACTTCCAATTTTTGTAATACAATTATCTATAACCATAGCTGTACAAGACATATGTCTAATATTGCTATCCAATATCCAAGTTTAACAATTTAAAAGTTGTGTACATTTCCCCATATCATTCATTTAAGGATTGAATGTAGATTTTTTGCAATGATGAATGCAGAATTTTCACGTCATTTCAAATGAATGCCATTGAAATCACTAAGGAAATTTGAAGATCATCGCTTAATGAATGCAAATTTCTCACAAAGGTTCACTGTAGCACGTGAGAATACAATGTAAATATATCCTTGTACCTTTACTTTATCCTCTGCCAGTGCTTTCTGTTTCATATCACCTAGACAACAATTATTATCAAAGAATATAAATATGTCACATTAGCTTAATATGCTAGAAAACTGAAAGTTTTTGTTCCCATCAACAGCAGAAATAAAAATTTGTTGTGGATACACCAGTAATAAAAGTGCAGAAATAGAAATTTGAAATACAGCTAACAGATGTCTGGTTTATAAAATATGATAAAAGATACACGGATGTTAAATTAGATTTGGTACAGCCTTTATTATACTTCATGTTACCTGCAAGTCTGTTGATATTGGCACCAACACAATCTCTTCGTAATTCTTGATGGTATGACTATACACCTGATGCCTACTGAAAACTAGTTCCCCCACTACTGTACTCTTTCTTGAATCATATACAATCAATATCCAAATGAGGAAACTAAATATATCTATGTATCATTAGAACTAATTCAAAAGAGAGCAAGAGTAAAACAGGGAACCACATTCTGGCATCTGTTTATTTTATTTATTAAAGCTTATATAAAAGTGATTCACGTTAATTTTGAAGAGAAACAAGAAGATGTCTTATGCCCACAATAATTTTATTTGAGGGGAAAAAGAATCTGATATCTTAAGAGCTTATTTACATGCAAAAAATCTATGCTAGTCACATCTTGCAGCTTGATTTTTGCTCCTTTTCAATCAGTGTGATTCAAACAAATCAAATTTTGAAAGTTGTCTTTTTTAAATATCCCAAACACATATCAACTGAATGAGATAACCTCTTAATAATTCATACTTTAAATATTTTCTGAATTTTTAAGTTATGAATCAGTTATTTTGTTAGGAAATTGAAAAGTATTTTCCTCAAGTTAGTTACATCAGCTGAATCATATTGGAGTATGCACTATTGTATTAACTGATAGTGTTGGACAGAAATCAAGAAAATTGATACAGTGTACATCTCTAGTATATAACAGATAATAAACACAGTGAGAAACAGCAAGAAAAACCTCCTCTCTTAATGTGAATGAAATTTGAACTTTGATTGAAACTTCATTCACAAAATGGCGTAACTTTATGTTTTGACTTAGGGAAGCGAATGTTATTGTTTTGAATTTGCTTGAAACAATGTTTATAGCATAGGTTGCCTGACTGCTCATGGACATCCTCATCTAAATAATACATCCCTGAAGATCCAGGACACAGTTGGCCACATTTGAGATTCAATCAGACACAACAGGCTAATTTTATTAAATACATTGAGTCCAGACACAAACAAGCTATAACTTGTTTGCCATTTAAGGGATGAAAGGTTTCCTCATGACTGATTCAAACTTCTAAGAATTTGAAAATGGCGAGAATAAAGCAGGGAGATGATAAATAAAATAGTTGTGGTTAAATATGAGATAGGATAGGTCAACATTTACATCATAATTCAGTCCCTAATTTTAACTACATCATTAACATTATTTATAGATATTATTTATTCATAAAGGAATATATCATTCAAATATAATTTGAATTATTCAATATGAATAATACCCTGCCTTTAAATTGTTAACCCAACCAGACATTGTGGAGCTCTAGTCAAACATGACTGGCTAATAAAACCACACTATAGTTTCTCACTCTATTAATTCAAATCATTAACATTTAGAGATAGAATATATTCACTAAGAGACATGTAATTCAAATATCATTTGAATTATTCAATATGGTTTAGGCCCTGCCTTGACAGTGTTCACTCAAAACCATACATGTACATTGACTAAACTATGTCAAAATGGGTTAAAAGTTAAAGATATTATCATACATGACCAAAGCAGGTCTACAGTTAGATAACCTATTTTAATATAATGTGAAGTCATCATACAGATTTTGACATTTCAATGTTGAATGTCTCCTGCTATATACACCTACCTACATCATTAAAATTCACTTCTCCTTTTTTAAAACCGGCTGTAGACTTTGCATTTATGCCAGTCATTGTATTATGGAGCTACAAAATAAATGAATGCGAATTTGAAATTGGTTGAATTAGCGAATGAGGCTCTCAATGAGTTTTAAGAAAGCCTGAATACAAGTTTCAAGATAAATGTCTGACTGAAGCTTGATATGCATGTTTAATGTTTTTAATCTTGTAAAAAAATCTCAGTCAAATTTTTAAAATATTACACTTCGATAGTAATTAAAATGAAATGAAATGAATGGAGTTTTACATCCTACATAGTAATTAAAGGGACAGCTCTAAGAAACAAAGGTAGAGGCACCAGAATTGATTCTTTTCATTGAGAGTGATTCAATTCTACAGCTACAACTTGACTAGCAGATGTTTTTTATCAACAAATGTCAGGTTTTAAGGCAACAGCCAAGTACTCCACGGTGCACTAACCTTCACCGCAGTGGATGACATTCAAAATTGACTTAGTGCACAGTTTTTTGACAAAAAACAACAAGATGAGACTAGTTGTTGACAGGTAAATATTGAGAGGCACAAGGATGTAAAATGTCAACAAATCTTCATCCTTGTTGGCTGATTTCAAGTTAAACTTTGAGAAAGTACATCCTAGAACATATTGTTATTACAGGATACAAACTTTTGATGGATTTCGAAATCTATGAGTGAGAAACACAGGAAAGAGTATTCATGACAAAATAAGTTCTCAAAGATCCATTTTTATACTATTTCAGCTACCTTAATCAGCTTGATATTGGAGGTTGTGCAAATTGCATCCTAACAGTGACACAATGAAAATAGATTTGGACATATCTGATTTTATGAAACACATGCAGCATTGTGTTTCAGAAACATTCATTACCTCCACAGCAAAGACTTCTATATATGTTTTGCTATGCAAAATACATGCATAACATGAGTATGGGCAACTTCTGTGGTGCAAGAAGGCTCATAAACAATGATAGTTGGAACCTAGTTAGTCCTGTATTTGAATGTTAACATAAGACCATAAGAGCTACGTTAATTAATGGGAAATGTAAACCACAAACCACCTGCTATTAAAATACACACGATATTTCACACTACCAGCCATATGTAATTCTATCAATAATCAATACACCAGTATTTGCACTTACATCGTTCCAATATGCATGTTTACATTGGATACTATTCTGAATAAATGACTGGATTTTTAAATACATTTTTAACTCATTTTCTAGATTCAAAACTAAACAAAGCTATCAATATGCCAACAGGTTACTGGACAAGGCACCATATATATACTTATACTACACAGTACACACAGCTTGTTGGACTATATCAGACATGACTGGTTAAACTTGCAAATCAACAATCCTTATATCACCTATAGGTCATGAACTTTGATTAACATTTGAAGCTAAGAAATGTTATCACACATTATAATAGAGATATTGATATGTCACATGTACAGTATGCTGTCATAATCACATGATACACCATAAGTCAAATCTTAACCATATATCACAATCGATGCACTGACGAATACCTTCTCATGTGTGCTTATGTCATCCAAAGGTAATCTGAACTCCAAATCATAAAACAAATTCACAATCCTTAGCCAGACAAACAGTGTAAGGCTTATTCATAGTTAAATTTTAAAAAAAATACAAGAAAGACAAAGAACTGAAAATGGTTGTACAAAAAGTATATGCAGAAAAAATCAAAAACACTGACATAATTCAATGAAATTTTAATCAAAATTCAAAATCCATAGCCATAAACAAATACAGAATGTAAGGTACAGGACAGGACAATCCTTCAAAATAAGTTTCTCATTATCACATGCTCTAACCTAGTCAGAATCATAAGGTCTACCATCATTGTTTACATAGCAATAGATTTTTGAAAGGATGATAGGTGACGCCCCTTACCAACTGTCAGAGGTACTGGTTGTGGCATCAGAATTCTTCTTACCAAGCGGAGGATTCGAATATACAGCATCTAATGCCTAGCAGACGACAGGGCTCTAGGTTTAACATTTTTACAGATGGACATTTAAGCAAGCCATTTAGGTTTTGATGCCCTTTTCAAGAAAAAGTACTACAAAAGCAGACAGAATGTAATAGCAATGTTGTGCTCAAGATAAAAATTACAGCTGGGCATCTTCTATCGTCAGTTGAGCATAACTGGCAAATAAAGTGGAAAAAACAATATCAAAGCCCTATGTACATCTCAGTCCTAAGTAATGAATGTCATAAAACTAGAGTTAAAGTTATGGTACAAACATCATAAATCATTCCCAAATCTTAACATAATTTACGACAATCATAGACTATATAGAAACTATATAGAGACACTAAAAAAATAGTAAATAAACATCTTCACATCTAGTTTCAAACAGTGAATACAATCCCAGTCAGGGAGGCAAAGGTTGGGGGTTCAGAGAAATTCAAATTGATCATTATGGTTCCCTCATTTCTCCCATACCCCAACCAACCTCCTCATTGCCAAATTTCTCTTCTTCAAGGAGTAAAGAATCGAAAAAGTCCATGCCACACTAATATTTCCTCCCAGAGCAATAAAAATATTCATGAAAAAAAGCTAATATGAACAATTATACAGGTCAAATCATGCTCAAGTTTGGAACACCAATTGATATCTCATAATTATTTTCTAAATGGTGAATAAGTTATCCACTTTGTGAAGTCCAACACTTCTTCATTATAACCTTCAAAAATCATTTCTTACACATAAACTAAAAGGAAACACTATACAATATATACAAGAGTTCAAGATAAGTAAGGTCTTATTTCATAATACATGTATGATATAAATTCATTAGCCTATATACAGACCATAACTGTACACATATCACAGTAGACAAGCAACATTACTGACTTTCCTAGACTATATTATATTCAACAGGTCGTTTACACTTTCAAAATTTAAATTTATACCATTAGTCATTTAATGACATAGCAATTCATATAATTTTAAAATTTCTAAGTGTGTCGACATAACCCTGCATGCATCCATTCTATATACTGCTGGAACAACCAGGCATTCTCAGACCAACGTACATACCTCTACTGTTTCTATTTACTTTATATTCCCTTAACAAAACTTTACGGTACACACTCGCAAATATCCGTGTACAGTCTTAGAACGTCTTATTCCCAAAATAGTTACATACAACGGTACAAACACAAAGTTAAACGTACAAGCGTGTCAAATGTATAAAATATACGAACCATTTTAAAGTTGTATGTGAAGGATATATAGTGAGGTCATTATCTATAAATATCTATGATGAAGTCACAGTTAACCAATGAAAATTCAGAATATATTTTACCTCGTAATATACTTCACTCTTCACCGTGGAGGTAGAAATAGTTCAAACATTTGCAGGTGCCTGATACAAATTTACTGTTATTTATGTTGCAAATCTTGTTTTAGTTCATCAAACGGTCAATCAGATTTGTAAAGTTAACAATAAGGTGCAGTTCCAGCTACGCGACTGATTTTCAGTCGTATTTATGCATGACATATTAGAAAAACGGTCATATTTCGCGCATTCACATTTGTAAACAAAGTAGTCTCGAATTACTAGACACACATTTTCCTATTCAAAGAGTATATTGTTGTCTGAAGTCAGAATTAATTAGTTCTGGAAATTCAAAGTAGTTTCACACATTTATTTTCCAGTTTTTCCAACTGAATATATATTTCATGAGAAGGGCAGACAAATGAACTATTGTGAAATGCAGTAATGAATATTGCAGTGTATTCTGATATTCAACATTTCACAGGGTAACATAGTTTAATCTGCAATGATTCAGTTGTAAAGTGTATAGTTATGTCATGAACAATTACAATTTATTTGTATGACTTTGCATGATATTGGTCTAATGGTAACAATTGCACTTGATGCCTCAGATAACTCAAACAGTACTATTCCAAATGAAGTTACATGTTTTAAAATTAGAAGAAAGCAATGGCACAGGGTTAATGTAGATTGATGATTGAAGTTGTGTTGTTATGCCTCTGAACAGCTGTATGCCTATGCCTTAGTCTCAGTAATGAAAATTTTTGAGCTAGGCCAATCAGTAATAGTGTTCACAGCTCAAATTTGAGCCTTCAAATCCATGTTTGTCTAGAATTATCCGCGTTTGAAAGTTAAAAAGAAAAGTCGTCTTTTCTTGAGACAGTGATGTCTAGAAATAGGAAAATAAATTCTTAGTTTGAGATAGTTTTGAAGGAATTATGCGATTTTCATACATTTCTGGTACTTCTGAAGACTATTTACATATATTCAACAGACAAATCAACCCCCCAAAATGGCACATCTGTCTCTTTAAGGGTTATGATTGTTGAATAGTAACAAGTTATTATTGAAAAGAAGGACTGGCACAGGGTTAAGGTAGCCTGCACTAGAACATTGTAGGCCTTAAAATAAAACATCAGTCAATAGGCTACAAGAGGCACTGATAGAATGAATTTGTCTCTAATATTGATATGATACGACTTTTCCAATGTTATTTCAACCATTTTCTTATGTTTTATGTCTTCAGGTCAATGTTTATATATTTAAAGATGTCTATGTTAGCTAGAATGTTACCAGTGACTTCCCCTTGGTTGGAATCAGACTCAACCACTGATGAAAATTTAAAGAAAACAATACTAAAAGATGAAAGAAATATGATAGTTTTTGGTCCAAGTAATGTGTAAGTATATAAGATTCAGAAAATTTGTTTAGTCTTTAGTTTGGTGTGTGGTAGTGCAAGTCATGTATAACTTTGGCAGTTTTGTTGGCTTTATTTCAGAAAAAACCTCTGCTAGGTTGTTGTAATGTTCTTTAGAGATTAAGGGGGTAACAAGTTACTATCCAACTGAAGGCACTGGCACAGGGTTAAAGCAATGTTTTCGAATGTTAAGGTTAATATGTTAAAATGGAAATTTATACTTGTAGTCCAAAGAGATAGTGAGGGGAAATAAAAGCATGCAGCTTTTTGTCAAATGTTGGACAATTTTAAAGGTTTAGGGAAAACAAAGCTAAAATAGCCCACCATTAGAAGATTCTTAGCCATCATATGATACAGGGTTCTTAATCACAAATAATTAAGTTGTTAATTTGAGAAAGAAATAAAAAGGATCATATAATTGGAGGAAATCCAACAATAATGAACCAAATAACTGTATGTTTTTCTTTCCTCCTTTTGGTTAGAGAAAAGTTCTTGACCTGTTCATGAGGCTTGAGGGGAATAAAAAAATATCAAGTGCATTTCATATCAACTCAAAGATATTTTTCACGGAATTGTCAGTGAATTCTCGGATCATATTTCTGTAGCAGACATTTGTCCTTAGGCTGAGTTTGGTACAAATGTTTCACTTCTTTTACTTGATAAATCATTGAATACCTTTCTGTGTCTTAGTCTTTACATAAAGTAGTGAATAAGATATTCATATTTACCTTCACACCAGGTGTTTCAAATGAGTATCTATTCACATGTCAGTTAACAAATTCAAAAAATTGCCATATAAAGCTTATTGAAGCTCAAAGTAAATTATATTTTCTTCAACTTATAAAGTTTAGATCTAGCTACTTGATAGGTGATGAACTGATTTAAGTCAAATAGGATATATTTTTTGCATATATCTTGACTCAAACGGTAATAGAAACGTAACTTCAGGAATACTGATAAAACTTAACGGAGATGGGCGTCAACATGTTCTGTGGTCAATAAACTCATTTGACTTTTTATTATGTGTTGCCTTTAAGTCACTTTAACACTGACATTCTCTTTACTTGTAAAAAATTTTGAAATAAAGATACAGCCACAAGACCTTTTTTTTTTTTTTTAGAAGCCTCTAAAGACACTCAGTTGATTTTCTCCAGAATTGCTCTATTTTATTTTCTGTTTTAAACTTTAGCATGTTTTGCCACAAATATCAGATTAAGACTAAGTTTGACGCAAATCTTTAAAAAAATACATTTTCAAGTAGCTATAAAGAGGCCTATTAATATATAATTGTAAAGGATTTGTCATGAATTCAATAATAGAGATGAAGAATAGAAGGTTATTACTAAATCTTGAATTGACAATTGAAATAAAAAGCTATATGAGGCAACTTGAGCAGATGTGTTTTTATTTGTTTGTATGTAAAATAATAAAGACTATTTTAAAATGATGACGTCAATTAGAATTTATTTTTTGTTCAAGTAGTTTGCAGGGGAAAGGCTTGAAGTTCCGCACTGTTAGAATTTTGTGTATTTTAAAAAGTGGCTCGTGAATGGTTCTGCAATTTTTAGAAAAGGATTGGGGAGCTCAGTATGTTAAAAACTTGCTCGGTAGGTCCAGGGGTCGATCTCAGCATGTGGGTTAAGATAATACCTTTGAATTTTTCAATCAGGTTCCCCTGTCAGTGATGCAGGTCTGACGGGCAGACATTTTGTTTTATGTCAGAAGTGGATATACAGTATTATACAGTTTATATTGACTTTTTTGTCCTTTTAAGATTAAAGATAGTTAACCCTTATGATTTTCTATATTTTAGGGGTAAGACATGTCTGTTATTTCAAGCTGGTGTATCATTGGCTGTAGAAGAATTAATAGTAATATTTGTATCACCTCAACCATTGACCAAGATGCCCTTGACTATACATGGTCTTCATTCACCTAGTGCTACAGTACTCCAGTCAGTTAAATTTGTGTAAGTAATTGCCTTAAAGGGATTGTAAAGGGTTTTCTGGCTTTCTTGTATTGTTTCTGTGAACCATTTATGGTTTCTATTATATCAATCCAATCTTTCCATCAGATGTCTGTGGTTCATGTAATTATAGAAATGCTTATGTCACTATCACAAAAGCTGCTAATAATATCTAAGGGCAAAAACTACAGAATATGTCTGACTGAAAATTGGAATGGTGAGAATCAACGCTCTACTGATAAATGTAAAAATTATATGAAAACTTCTTTGCAAAGCCTTAAAGAGATTTCAATTAATTCTGATTGAGATTTATATAAGATAGCATCTCAGAGAAAGCAAAATTGAAAAAAATGACCTGCAACTAAACGTTCATTTTGAAAATTATAGTTGGCAGAAACAATTTATTCAGTTTACCATTGACTTTTGTCAAACAATTAGTTTTTGAAATTTACAACTCTGTATTACTATTAGTTCTTGCCATTTATAAACTTGCAACACCATGTTATCTATAAGCTTATAACTTTGAGAAAAGTCCTCCCATATCAGAGTATTTTTTCTATCCATTGAAGTTTGAGATACATGTGTTACTAATATAAGTATAATATTTATAGTATATTTTATACTGAATATTAATATTCAGGTAATCAATGACTCATATACTATAGTTACCATATTCTACTAGCTTCAATTTGAAATGATATAAGGTGCTATAGGAGATACTCTCTTATAAAAGCACTGGCTAAGGACATACTCTCCTGAATAGCACTGGCCTAGGTCACAAACTGTAGAGACCATGTATTTCAGCATGTAAAAAAAACAACAAATTTTAATAGAATTTTTTTTATGAAAAGTTTTATAGATGTAAGACATTTTCAGATATTGAACATTCTATCAAAGGAGGCTGGCACACTTATAAGATTATTTTTCCAGACCCACCAACTCAAGTATATTGTAGATGAGTATAAATCTGATGAACCCAATCTATAAAAGTTGCAGTCATTATATTGCTGTAAAATTTTTCAAAAAGATTTCCATAAAAGACTGACAAATGAGGCTTCCAGACCCTATGCTCTATAACTAGTATATTCTGGATTAGGATAACTCTTGATGAAAGCTGTTCCATAAAAATTGCAGTCATTACAGGCCATTGCTGTAAAACTTTTCAGAAATTGTACATAAACATGACTGGCAAACAAGGCTGACAGTATTTTAAGTTTTTCCATAGCCACTTTTTATAAAAAAAGTATACTTTGGATAAGGATATATTGCCAAAAAAGCCAATCTATAAATATTGATAATGCAATACAGTAATGTCAAAGGTCAGATATAAAACACAAATATTAGTCTAGCTAGTTATGACTCATTTTTACGTCTTGACTCTCAACTGGTTTGGTTTCATTAAGGAATGTTTGTTTATATATCAATCGTTTTTTATTTCCGTAGTTTCCAAGATTTCTTATTCATTCAAGGAAAGGTTCCTTTTGTTTTTTTTTCTTTTTCATTGATCTGCTAAACATCCTGAAAACATTGTCTCTTAGTAACCAAAAGTTTAAGGATTTTGATTGGATAGGAAATTTTAAAAATAATTGTGAAGAGCTGTTGAGAGTTGAAACTTGAGAAATTTCATCATTATTTATCAGTATGACAAAGCAGGTTTTTATTACATATTGAATTTAATTGTATTCTTTGCAAATTTTTAAAGGGATTGTAATCTTTTTATGACGTCAATATTGCAAAAGATATTAGATATTGTTGTTGCAGTTTTTGAGATAGACATGTCATAAACTCAGTTTTAGTGGAACTGCAAGAATCACAGACATCTAACTGAAAATTAGAATGGTGCAAATTGATATCATTATTGTCGGTAATAAACGTAAACAGGTTAAAGAAAAAACCTCTTTACAACTCTTTTAAATGTAAGATGTGGCATTGGTATATTCCTATTAGGAAAAATCTTCATTGTGCCCAATGCTTTTCATAAAATTGATCCCCAACCCATGCTTGCAGTAAACTAAATAGATTTACAACAAATTGATATTGTAAATGTGTGATGTGTAAAAGAAAGAAATGAAAAATAACCTGTTTAGGTCCATAAACCTGAACTGTACCTGTTGATAACTATGACTCATATATTGTGTGTTTTTGGGGAATTGATCCTCTACCCATGCTTGCAGTGAACTAAAAAGATTTAATTGTTGGTAATATAACTATTTTATGTGTAAAAAAAAAAACCTGTTTACACCCATAAACCTGAACTGTACCTGGTAACAACTATGACTCATATATTGTGTGTGTTAATTAACAATATTATATATACCATCTAGATCAATATAAATTAGTCTTATTAACAAAAATAATAATACAACAATATGTTTGTTTTTTGTGTTTCTTTTTTACTTTTTACTTTATTATTTGTCCTGAAGGGAATGCGCAAAACAATTTTTTATTTTTTACAATTGTGAAACAATATTATATATTTATACTATCTTATCAATATAAATTAGTCTTCTGAATGAAAAATAATTCCAATATGTTTGTTTTTCTGTTTCATTCTATTAGAATAAATACATTTTTTTTTTTTTTCAAGTAGGAATTCTTTGTCCTGTACCTTATTGAACAAAATAAAGATTTTTTTAAATATTATATACATATATACTGTTTAAATCAATATAATTCAGTATTATTAGAAAAAAAATAATATAGCCTATCAATAGGTTTGTCTTTCTGTTTCATTCTATCCATTTTTATTTTTTACAAAACAAGGAATTCTGAATCCTAAAGGGAATGTAGCCTTCTTTATGGAACAAAATTAAAAAATTTTTTTACAAATGTAAAATCTTTTATTTTCATAGGCACTAAATTGTCTTCAAACGCATATAGATGTATGTAGGTTGGTATGTTGGGACCTAATTTGCATGGTTCCATTGTGTTATCAAAAATACCCCTGAACTCAAGAGAGATCACATATGCCTTGGTCATTGCTTCTGAATGTGTTTTAATTAAAACTGTTCTAAAGAAAGGAAAGTTTATAAATTCTGTCCAAGTTATGTTTTATGAATGTTAAAAACAAAAGGTGTTATTTTGGTGAAATAGTTTGACATTAAATATTATAATGGAAATTGAAAAACAAAGCTTTAAGAAATATTACAATAGAGAAAATTATATTGTACAGTTTTCAAATTAATTATATGTTGTTTTATCTGTAACATTTCCTGGGAATAGTTAAAGGTTATGTAGAAATTTTGTAGTCTGTATGCCAAAAAAGTGAATAGTTTGGTTTTTTGTTCAAAGAACTTCTGAAAAATTATATCTCTGAAATTTGAAATTGCAATAGAAAATTATTGTTTTAATGCCAACCTTTCTTGCAAAATTTGAAATTGTTGCAAAATATTTTCTTAATATTGAGTTTTGAACTTAGTCAATTTTGGCTGCATCGGCCCCAATTTATCTTATAAATGTTTTTTCTTAAGTGAATGTTTGCAACATTCTGCTAATGATTCTAAATCATTCTGTTTTCAAACTGGCATGAGTAAAACTAATTCTTTACACCTGATATTGTGCAAAATTGTGGCATCTTTTTCAACAGATTTTGAGGTAATTTATCCTGAAGAGTCAAAGGTTATAAAACAAATTGAATGAAGTAGCCTTACCTGCATTAAAAACTTTCAATTTATTCACATTTAAATACTCCTTGTTAGTATCACACAAAATACCTAGGAATGTACTAGACAAAGTTTGCCTGAAATTTACCATCAAACGAGCAACAGTGATGTAGATGAAATATAAAGATGACCAATTGCAGGTATTAATGATATGTATCTGGTAGGTTTATAAAGAGTTATGTGCCCCTGTGTTAGTTTGTATAGGTATGAGTCATAGATAGGTCTAGTTCTCTACATCTATTTCTATATATTTTACTTAAACTAGATTGTCACATAGTCTGATTATTGATTCACCCTCTCTCCCTCTCATTCTCTCCAATCCAGTCTCAATCACAGTGCTCAAATTTTATGACAATTTTTCCCAATTTCTGTACATTTGCACTAAGTTTAATGGTGCTCACTAATACTATAATAATCTTTGCATTTCAGACATATAAATAACTATTAATACAACAAATAAATTAAATTATATACAAAAGTTTTAAATATATATCATTAAATGCATTTACAGCAATTTCACACTGGTAAAGGATGCAAATTTGACTGCTTTTTGTCTCTCTAAGTTTGAAGATATTTTAGAATTATAAATAACCTATTAAATGTAATATGTGAGAGTCGCTTTGTATTATGAATGTTAGTGTTGGTGAGTGGGGAAAGGGTGTTTTTCAGCTGCAAGATCACTTACACTAAGATGATACATATTAGAGACACAGCTTTAT